CGCCCACATGTTGCGCGGACTGTTAGAGACTTCTGTTCAGCACAACGCATGCAACTTCTTCCTTGGCCTGCTTATTCGCCGGATATGTCGCCTATTGAGCACGTGTGGGATATGGTTGGTCGGCGTCTCACTCGTGATCCGCGTCCTGCAGTTTCCAAAGACGAACTTTGGTTGCGCATACAAGCGATATGGAATTCTCTTCCTCAAGCAGATATTCAACATCTGTTTGACTCCATGCCACGTCGTATAGCAGCACTTATTGCAGCGCGTGGTGGCTGCACCAAATACTGATTTCGGACGCTTAATTTGTTTCTTTTGTTTTGAAAATTTCATCATTTATTTGTATCAGTACAAGTCGTTTCTGCATTAAATTTCATTTGATTCTGATGATTCTTTCATGGTGTTGCATTTTCTACAAACAGCAGTTTATATATCTCATATCTTCATTTTTTTTCTTATAGTATGCATATACATTGGTTTCTAAGTGCAGATATGCCAACTGCTCCGGACACACGAAAATAATTAAAAAGATGGTAAATAACGAAGTAAATTTTGTAAATATGAAGTGGTGAATTATATAAGCCTACGAATTATTTAGAAATAGTGGTGGATAAAAATCTACTAAATTGAATTTATTAAATTAAGAACCACAATTTTTTCATACGTCAAATTGACGTGTGTCCGTAGAGATAGGTATATAGGAAACGTCCGTAAACCTAGTGTTAAAAGCACTGCATACTATATCTTTGAGGTTATATTTTAAAGGGAGTTATTAAATATTAACTTAATAAAAAAAATTTCGATTTATGAAGCTAATCTAGAGATGTTTCAATATTTTCTTTCTCTGTCTCACTCATTTGACAAAAAACTAGTTAATGTCCATAGCATAACATTTACGTTCGAAAAGTAGAAAGAACTGGAAATACTTCAATTTCCAACAGTCGTTTAAAATATTTAAAATTTGTGACGAGAATGAAAGGAATTTAATTGGTATTACGATTGGCACATTGATGCATTGGTATTACAACTGGTGCACTAGTTATTGCAATTGACGCATGAATGCATCAATTGCATTAATGCGTCAGTTACAACTGATGTATTGGTATTACAACAATAATACCACATCAAAATGTTTTTCTAAACAAATATGTTTGAATGAGACTTTTCTGCTGTTCTATCTTTAACACGTTCACGCCGGGGTGGTGGGTCACGCTAGATTGTCTCATCGGACGGAGCACCGGAGTAAAAACTGGTAACAAATAAGTTTCATTTTTTAGTTTTTTTCCGGGAATAATAAAAATCCATAACTACCAATTGTTTATATTGAATTGCTTCTTCGCCGTGATAAATTTCCTTACGGTGAATTGTTATTGTTAGGAATAGATTAACTCCTCCCGAATATTATCTAATATTGAAATAGTTCTCCTACCAGTATTTTCTCTTTTCTGTCCCGCTTTCCGGCGCAACACCCGGCGTGAACGTGTTATACCAATTAATACCTGGTTAAAACTTCCGCTAAAGTAGAGTACAAATCGTGGGCACCTCACCAACGCCTCCTACAGCTGAAAGCCTCCACACGTTTTTTTTATAGGTAGTCCGATCACTGTGAAGAATATCAACTTTTTAACAAGTCACTTAATAGAAAATCTAGTTAAAATAAGAAAGTGGTAGTAAATATATGACTAAAATTTTTTTTCATTTATGAATATTATTGGTTTGCCTTATTCACTTGTCAACCACTACAGATTCAATTCTCAAATATGTATGATGAATTTCTCTCAATTACTTTTATAAAAGGTTTTGGGTTCATGCGCACAACTGGTTCGCTTTTAAAACAGTCTGCGCGGACTACTTATAAAAGACCGTGTGGAGGCTTTTTGATGTAGGAGGTGATGACCTCGCTCTTTCATCTGAAGTAGAGCCCGTGGGCAGCTAAGATAATGGCAGTATAAGCTTGAGGGAAGTACAGACTTGAGTTTACACTGTTGTTCTACTTCTAGCTATGTTAGGAATCAAACTATTCAATACTTTGATACTTTCAATACTTTATATCACCCTTGATCATTCCCCCACTATTTGACCACAAAAAGTGGTCTACATCGAAAAAAAACATGGCAGCAACATTTCAAAAAAAATTTAAAAAACTGGTAGAAAAAGATCGATGAAGCAGGGAGGCCACAGACGACTAAAAATGTGAGACTCAATTTCTACTTATTTAATTATACAATCGTAACTACCACCACAGGGTTCATACGCACCTGAAAAAAATTTAAAAGTGGTAGTAATATAAATAAATTTCTTTTACACTAATATGTCTGTAACAGCAAGGATATTTTATTTTCTCAAAGTAATTATATATAGATCCGAAAGTGGCGGATATGAAATTTTAAAAAATTCGATAATAGATGAAATTTTTAATTTCTTTATGACAAAATTGATAACATTTGTAGGGCTCCAACGGGCTTTGAAAATTTTAAAAAGTGGTAAGGAAAATAAAACAGATGTCGATATTTTAATTTCTGCGTAACCACCACTAAAAATTGTTTTCCAAAGAAAGTATATTTGCATGAAAATACCAGCTTGCTAAATCACTTAACGATAAAGTGGTACACTAAAATTAGAAATATATTCCTGCATTAACCTAAATTAACTAGATATTATTTCTTTAAACGTTAATCTTGCTACCAATTGAAGAAATTTCCCCTAAAGGAAAGTGGAGTAACCTATTAACGCTTGACTTATTATAATGCGATGAAGACAGTGTGGATGGTGCAAAATAATGCTTAAACTATTAGAATATTTTCTGATGTTATGCTCAACACTTATGTTACACTTTCTTGTGTTAATACTACTCAAGTTTCACAAAAAGAAATAAAACAAATAAATGAATAAATAAGTTAAATAAACAAAGAAAATAAATTAATAAATAAAAAAAATAAAAATAAAATAAATACAATTCCAGCTCCAGAAACACATTTATTCTTACACAAGCGCATGCAAGAGTGTGCTTTTTACAAAGTATGTTATGCAAGCCCATGTCAAAGTAAACAGATAGTACAAGCAAGAGAATTACACCACTAAAAAACATTCAGGGTTACAATAAAATTCAGACTCGTTACCTCCAAACATCAGAGCAAAACTCCTCTCTCAGTTTAGTTCCAGATTTAAACTAAACTCAGTGGCGCAACAGCCCATAGAGGGCCAAGGCCTACTGTGACCATCTCAGTTTTCTTGACCTTAGGCTCTAGGGTACAAGAGCAGATGTTTCGGTTAGGTGATCAGCCGAACGCGAAACCCCCAGTGTTTAGTTCCTAAGCATGCTTGGTACTCATTTATCGACCCACTGAAGGGATGAAAGGCTGAGTCAACCTTGCCCGGCCCGAGGATCGAACCCAGGACCTGTGGCAAGGGAGCCCGAAGTGCTACCACTCAGCCACCGGGAGTTCAGCTCAGTCTAGTTCCTGATTTACAGATATAAATTAGGAGCTTTATAATTCCCTATTAGCACGGTAAGAGTAAACATGCAGTTTGGTTTTCAAAATCGATAATGAGATAGTTGTACTACCCGTTTTTACCATTTATTTGAAGAAAAAAAATAATAATAAGAGAAAAAAAACTGCCCTACTTAGTATACTGGGTGCTTACGCGTCCATTTATCCTAGTAAATTTGTAAGTCATCCAGATAATTTCGTTAACATAATTGTTCTGGTAAAAGATCTTAAATGAGATTGTTGCCTCCTCTGTAATCTATCAGAACATCAGATATATCTGTTTGAACTAAACTCAATGGAGAATGGGCCGACAGCCAATGAAGGGTCAAAGCCTATAGTGCCCTTCCCAGTTTTCTTGACCTCTGGCTCTGAGCTGTAAGAGAGTTCCAGCTAGGTACGTGGAACCCCCAGTGTTTAGTTCCCAAGCTTGCTTGGTACCACTGAAGGTTTCATCGAGTCACTGAAGGGAGGTATCAATATCATTATCGTTAATAAAAATTTTAATCTTTTAAAAAAAAGCCTAAAAGTATAATATAATAATTTTAAGAAATGCTAACGAACTAATATAGTTAAATCGAATCGTACGAAAAGTCTTGCAAAAAAGATCCCAGTTGATTGGTCAAGCCACTGATTATGGAATTGATGTGCTTCGTAAGATGCAGTTCTTTCCCATTGTGCAACTAGGGCTGCATAATACTTACAATCTTTTCCTTCCGGTTTTATGGAATGACGTTTTTTATAAAGAGAAAAAGGAAGTAATAACTGAAGAGTCATTCAAGTGGCCTAAAAATAAGTAGACATATTGAAATTCAACGCTTCGAAACTTGTATTTAAAAAAAAAGTTTCGTTTGATATCAAAATTTTTCGTCACACTTTGGGCCATTTCCTGACAAGTTTTAATTTAAAGACTACAATTCTTCAATCATTACAGTTCTTTAACTTAAACGGAACAATTATTTAATTTAATTTCTTTAACTTAATTGCTACATTTCTTTAATATAAATGGTTGAGATTTCTTAATTTATAGGATACACTTCTTTAAAAATTCTGCAATTCTTAAATTAATTGACTACGAGACGGCAATTTAAAGACTGCGAGAATTATTGCATTTGCTATGGATACACAACGCGAACGGCTCGGAACTTTTAAACTGTTTTGAATGTTTATGTTAATGTATTTTGAATGTTTGCGTTTTATCGTAAGTAAAGTGATCACCGAAGCAATGAAAGAGGTTGAACCGGTTCTAATACGTAACAAACTCTGCTTTGTGTATGTTTGAGAAAGGGAATAAATACATTTCCGCCCGCTTTATAACCAGTTTTTGTACCGATCCGCCTGTGTAGGGATCAGGGAACTGGCCTTGAATCAGAAAGGTTCTGGGTTCAAATCCCGGGCAAGGCATGGATGTTCTTTCCATCTCTGTAAGATCTGTCCTTACTGTGGGAGCAACATTGGCCTAAATAATATGGTGTCCCTGAAAGAGTGGTCAACAAATCTGCCCTTCTGATGCAGATGCCTGTATGACGAAAGGTCATTCTCCAGATGGGCATTGGAATAAAAAACCCGGTTCTTGTTTATATCCAGAGCAAAAATAAAAACTTTATGAGGACGCTTTGGCCTAATGATCAGTTAACAGTTAACTTCGTTACGTCACAAAATGAAAATCTGATTAGTTTTCCATTACTGTCTAACAAATGGTTACAGTTCTGCATTTTAAAAACGGCAAATCTTTAAATTAAAAGCCATACTTTTTAGTATAATAACTACAATTCTTCAAATTAATAGCTTAAGTTCTTAAATTTAATGACTCAGTGCAATTATTTAAAATCTACAGGAATTATAGCTTCAACTTGAAAACCATTTTTAAGAATAAAAACCTTTCACATTTTTTGATAAAAACAAACCCGACATTTTATTAACAGAATAAATATGTTTCTTCACAAACGTTAATTAATTAACGAGGATAGTATAAAGGTAATCGAAAAACAAGACACAAATGCATTAAAAATAACGTAATTTGACAAGCATAATAACTCCCCTCAAGTAACTTAGAAAGTATCTCGTAATTCTCTGTTTAATTCCTTCAAAGAAATTGATTTATCAACCATGATGACGATGATTGAATTCATTTGTTCTTGCGAAATTGCCACTTTCAGTTCTACTTTAAACCATGGACTGGAAATAAACGATTCGGATAATACTATAATGGTTCTTCTACTGCTTCGTACAGATTTCACAATGGTTTCAGTTATAATTTCACCAGGAATCCAATCTCTCTCGTGAATGCAAAATTTAAAAAATGGCGAGTTCTGTTCCAATTCGTGCAGAAGATTCATAACTAGAAATTTATCAGAACTACTGTAAACAACAAAGGCGTCGTATAATTTCTCCTCTAAATCGGCGACTTCAGGATGGAAACAAAATAGTTTATTGCAATGAACATACATAAATGAGTGAATTAACTCTCTCTGCCAGATGTATAGTCCTACAGTGACAATTATAATTAACAGAGTACTCATTAACGTCAGTGCTTTTGCCACCAATCACAAAATGTGCTTTGATCCTTCAAAGTTCACAGTGGGGTTTTTCTTTACCAACAGGAATCTCTATAATTATCAACCTCATATCATGTTGGACCATCAACCACTTGCAGTTGAAAAACACCCGAAATATCTAGGATTTGTCTTAGATCCAGAGATCTTAAGTAATAAACACATCGACCATCTTGTACTAAAGGCAAGGAAACGTCTTAAAATACTTAAGTATATATCAGGGAGATACTGGGGTGCTGACGCCTCGACCCTTAGCCCCTACATCACTCATTTACGGCCTATTCTAGAATATGGATTCCTTATCTACAGTTGTGCTTCCCATACAAATTTGCAAAAACTACAGAGAATCCAACTCAGCGCTGCGCGGATCATCACCGTCCTCCGAAATTCCTGTCCTGGAGCTATTGTGCTATTTGAGGCTGATCTGCAACTTTTGAGCCTCCGAAGATGGGCATGCATGGTAAAATATTACAGCAAACTCTATAGTTTTGGATCACAAAACAGGACTTCGGATTTACTAGCGAAGTGGCAACATAGTCAAAGACTCAAGCGAAACAGCCCTTTCAGCCAAGTATTTTCGTCCAACATCACTTTTGGAAACATGGAACAGCACTTCCTCAAACAGAGCATTGATCCTGCCGAAGGTTTTTCCGACGTGTCTTTCCACACCGACCTCACTGTTGCTGTCAACAAGCAAAATGATCACCCTGCTGTTCTCAAACTAGCAGCACTTGAGAGAATCTACACTATCCCAACGGAGGCTGTTCAATTATATAAGGATGGAAGCAAGGACGAAGACAATCACACCGGGAGTGGGATCTTCATCAAAACTCAGATGAGCGAAATTAAGATCCAAAAAAGGAATACCTACCACTATTCCTGTTTTAGGAGCGAGCTTATCGCCATTGATGATGGACTTGCGCAATACTTTCTCTTTCAATTCCGAAAGAGATTTGGATCCTTACCGACAGTAGAAGTGCTGTTCAGCACTTGGCTAGCTGGCACAGAGTGAGGGACAATACTAGCACAAACATCCTTTATAAACTTCTACACCTCTCCAAATATTGTCGAATTCACGTACAATGGATACCTTCCCACGTAGATATATCAGGCAATGAAATGAGAGATAGTCTTGCCAAGGCAGGTGCATCTGAGGCCACCGCGCCTCCAGTGTCTCTTACCTCCTCAGAGCTCTTCTCCATTGCTAAAGCCAAAATTAAATCAGCATGGCTCACTCCACCCACAGGGTACCAGACCAGGTAGCTGTTTGACAGCTGACAAAGACCCCCAGTCTCAAACCGCCATCACACGTCTCCGCTGTGGACACCTGAAATCACTGAGGTACTCTGGAGGAGAAAAGTGTTTTGCCCTCTGTACCAAGTACACTTCGGCCCAGGCATCCTCTGAATATCTACTGGACTGCCTCGGTCATTTTAAAAAACGACCTTATAGAAAGACCCTTACTTGTTTTAGACTTTTTGAATTTGAACAAACTCATGGACCTTATCTAGCTAGGCTAGAAATGGGGATTTGAAAGAAGATAAAGAAAAATTAACAGTAAAATACAAAAGAAAATGGTTAAAACTTCTTGTTTATATTTGGCAGTGATCTGCTGTGCACAAAGTTCTGGTTCTGACATTTCTATCAGAGGAGTTTCTACTACTTTCTCCGAAACCTTTTGATGACAAGTTATTTCCCTTACGTCTTTCACAATTTCTCCGTGTCTTAGTAAAAATTGTTTGAAAGTTTCACTTTCACAATCACAGTTAATAGAATTCAGTCCAAAAAATAATTGAAAATCTTTTTGAGTTGGGATGAACTGGATCATATTATTCGATAAAGATTTCAGTCTGTTTCCTCTTACAGAAAGGAATAACAGATTACGAGGGATGACCCATCCTTCTAATGTCCCCAAACGGTTGTTGTTCACCCACAGATCAGTTAATTTCGTCCATTCATTCAGAGACAAGAGGTTTATTAAGTTATTTTTATTAAAGTAGAGAAAGCTAACTTCAAACTGAGGTTTTTTTCCAGCTTGATGAAGCTCAAGGCCAGAACAGTTGACGAAAACCTTTCTGTCTTTTCCACGAGAGCCACATGTGCAGAATCGTGGACAATAGTTTTTAAAAGTACAAGTAAAGTTATCGTCGGGCAAAAATTGAACCGAATAATGTTTCAATGGTTCAGGAATCGCGCATTTTATATTTTCGGAATTAATTAAAGACAACAATCTGGGTCGGCTTACTTCATTTATATATCGTTTCATGGGATACATTTCACAATCGCAGTTTATTGGATTGAAAGAAATGTCCAGCGAAATTCCGTGTGCAGAATGTTCATCGTGATCTTTAATGTTTTTATCTTTCATAAATGATGTATCAAAATTAGAAATGTTATTAAATGTTACAGAAATCGTGACAGTGTGGTTCACTTCTTGAAAATACGGATATTCTTTCAAAAAATTTGTATCGTAAATATAATTGTAGTCTAATAATAACAATTCGAGTTGGGGCGATAGATGTGAAAGCGAAAAAAACGAAGTGATTTCATTATCAGACAAGTCCAATACGCGAATGTTTATTTCACCCCTAATTAATACAGTCGCGATCTTGTTATGAGATGCATCGAGGACTTCCAAATTTTTTCCAAAATTTAATTTTAATTCTTTAATTAGATTTGAACTGATATTTAGAATTTTTAAATGGTTCAAGTTTTTAAAGCACAATCTTCCAAATATCTGAATTTGGTTGTGCGAAAGATTTAAAATTTGCAAATCGTTTTTAGCAGAAAAACGATAGCATTTTCGTAAACAATTGTGGCTAAAATCGATGTAATACAGCGAACTATGATTTCTGAACATGTTATTAGGAAGTACGGTTATGATATTATTACTGAGATCTAAGTTACGAAGAGACTGAAGGTGCTGTAAAAAATTACTATCGTGGATCTGCAGCTCAATTGTCGAATTCACCTCTTCGTTACTGTCATCTCCGTCCGTTTTGTTTTTCGAATTCGTTAGTGTCAACAAGTCGTTATGCGAAAGATTTAATGATTTAAGATTATTCAGGTCAGAAAACGTGTTAGGTGATATGCAAACGAGCTTATTACGTGATATATTGAGAGTCGTCAAGTTTTCAAGTTTTTGAAAATGCCTTCTATTTATCTCAGTCAGATTATTTGATGATAAATCTAACTTTCTCAAAGAATTAGACAAGGAAAAAATATGATCCGGTAAAAATTGAAGTTGATTATGTGTTAGATATAACTTGCGCAAAGGGTTTGTGAAATGAATAGTGCTACTTGAAATATTTCCAGGAAGTACGTTAATGAATATTGAATGATGAATATTTAGAGTAAAGAGTTGTGGATAAATATTCGTAAATATGCTAACGTTTATGAAATGTGATAATTCTAACTCCTTTATATTATCAATTTCGAAAACATCTAGTAAGTTCATTAATTTATATTTGGCGTAACTGCTTTTCTCGCACTGCTCTTCACTGTTGTTATACTCTCTGTCTACAAACATGATTTCGTCTTCGCACTCGTAAGATATGACTTCTTTGAAGATTTCCCAGCCAAAGGGATTAGCAGATGATATTTTAGATACATTTGTATCAACCATGCTTCTTCTGATTGAATACGGTCTCATCCAGCATTTGCTCTGACATCTGAGAACAGATGTTGTAGGCGAGAAAGGCAAATTGCAGTCCACTCCTAATCCTTTGAATTTACATTCGGATTTGGCTTCAGATAGCGCAATTCCAAGCACAATTAAATGATAAAATACCATAACTGAGAAGGTGCATTCAGAAATCTGAAATTGAAAGAGAACTATTAATGAAGTCCGTCTAAAAACATTAAAAACAAAGAAAAAAAAATCGAAAAATAATTGATCAAGGTTGTCTCTAAGATTGATACTTATAATATGCTGATAATAATACTCATAATATATTGATACTTACAATATTGTATGCATTTTGTACAAATTTTATCATAAGAAATATAAATAGAATAATTTTCTTGTGTAAAGTTTCAAGAACAGCAGTAAATATTTTATATTAAGCTTTGAGCTGCCTGAGATTGTTTATGTAACAATGCGGAGAGATAAAGATTCGTAAAAAGCAAATGTGCCTAAAAGGTCTCAAAAGAACATTATGTTAAATTCATAAATTAAACTAGAAAAGATACAGTTCGAGCAACACTAATCTCCCAGCAGCTGCCAAAGCTTACAATTACGAAAATAGGAGAAGGTAGTATCTGTAATAAATGCACATAATTTACAGTTACATAGCATTCCATACTTTTTTGTACCAAATTTTATTTTTTTAAGAAACAAATGAGAAGTTCTCTTAATAAATTAATTGATCGAGGATAAAAGGTCACACATCCATACTATTCCGTCCAGTGGCTATAGAATCAGCTTATCATAATTAGTTTCTACCTTAAAATAATTACTAATACTATTATAAGAAATTAATAAATTAGTGTTACAATCTTAATTTATAAAAGTAACTTACTTACTGCTTTATATACATTCACTTACATACCCACTCATGCGTCATTACAGAAGATGGTTTCACTATCGAAACGTATGTTATATAACACGAATCTTAACTTTAAATTATATCAACAATTAAGATTTAATTTAATGCACAATAAATACTTTTAAAATAAATTTATTTTTCTTACAAATGATAGAAATTAATATAAATTATTCCAAAAACATTTCATGATTACCTTAAAAATTATTATGTTTTTGGCCTAAAGTATTCAAGCCTTTTGGGTATTCATGCAGTTAACCAAGCATACGTAACAAAGTAGCCAATATACAAAACATTTTTTAATAAATTCATTTTTATTTAAAAAAAAATGCCTTAAAATTCAAATAAATAAATAGTTTAGAAATTTTAGAGAATAAAATTGTATTGTTTAGAAGTACTTTTTATGTCACTTACCTCATTTTAGTGAAATTATAGCAGGTTCGAAGAAACTTGCATCGTTAGAAGAAATTTATGTATCTGTGAATAAATCATCGGGATATTTTGATTTTTTTTAAATGATCTTTTTCGTTTCGCTTTTAGTCCAAAAAAGCGGATATCCTTTATCCGTTACCGTTCAATCGTTTCGTTGCTATCAATCTCTTAGGATGAAGATGAAACTAAAAAGTTATTTTTTATTTCCTCCTCTATCTCAATGGATTATTGAACTGAAACTAAAGGAGAGAGTCTTTCCTTTCTTTATATTATTAACTTTAAAAACGCTGCATCAATTTATTGTAGATTATTAACTTTCCTCTATAATTTAAAAAATCGTAAGCGTCACCACTGTTGTTTTGAGTGCTCAATTAAACGGTACATTATGTTTCGCTGCGCGAAAAGTGTAAGACTTAATGTGGAGAAAGTAAAAGGAAATGAAAAGATGTAACAATTGGTGATTATTTCGAGAATCATTGTGCAAGATTTAAGAGGAAAGGCCCAAGCTGCTCTATTTAATTTTGCGTAACTTTTGCATAATTTAACAATTCTTTGAAGCCGAAAACTATTTTAAAGTTCAGTTCCCAAAAACGTATATATTTTAACTAAATGGACTATGAGCTGGAAGTAAAAACTGAGCGAAATTCCAAAGATGATTTTCTTTAGTTTTGACGAGTCAAATTTTCATTAGAAAGAAGAAAATTGAAATCTCAAATCCAAAATGCAATAACATCTTTCACAAAATGAAAATTTCAAATAACTGTTGCATACATGTTTAAAAATTCTCAAAAGTAAAAATTAGTTACTAAATCTAGAAATTTTTTTTAAATCTTCTCATTTGAATCAACTAATAATTGAGCATGTACAATGTAAAAAAAAACTAAGCTTAAGTTATATCTAAAAAGTGATTAGACAGTTTTTCTACAAAATTATGGACGGAAACAGATTTAACACATGTGCTGACAAACAGCTTTTTAGTCTAAAGAACATTTTGTATTCTTATGTGCAAGTTAAAATCTAGTATTATAACTCCCTTATCAGTAATTTTTCCATTACCATGTAGTCAACGCGTTTGGGTAGAATTTAAGCCCAAATAGCAAAATAAGGTTTATTTTCACTCAGCAAAAGTATTTTAATGTAAACCTAAAAACGTTTTTTGTGCGGTTTTCGTGTAAGCCTTCTAACCTTAAAACGAGATCTGTTACCATCTACTCTATTCTAAGCACAATACTCTAATCCAAAACCTTCTATATAAAAACCTTAAATAGATGTTGTCTTAAGGCGAAAATAATCTTGCTAATCTTAAATCTAGGTATCAGGTTTATATTCGCAACGTCTTGCATAATCAGCTAAAATCCGCCATATCACGAAATTTTAATGGACAATGCAATGTCATACCCGCCAGCTTTTGATCCTTTTGAAGATGATTAAGTTACAAATTTTAACAGAAACTTACGATGCATTTAAAATAGACTTAGGCGAAATATCAATTAAAGTATTACATATATGCTTAATTTTTTAAAAAATAGTGGTGGTCAAAAAGATTATAATTAAGTTTATAAATGTAAAGAATATATGAAAAGCATACATTTTACTACCAGTTTAAATATAGAAATAAAATTTTACGCCAAATGCGTAAAAGTTGGCAGGTATGCAATTTGATCCTATCGCTAGTGTGACGTCAGCTAAAACGTCATGATGCACCTATGTGACAATACTTTTTAAAAAAAGCTTTAAAAAATAATTTTAATCCTTTTAGGATGAAAGGTTTGAAGCTGCAACATTTTTGCTTTATTGAAAAAAGGTTTTTAGTACAAACATTTTCGTGGCAATAAAAATAAAGTTTCAACCCAAGGTTGCCGTAAGGTTACATGCTTTCTGGGAAGGAAAATTGTAATTTTTTTTAGATAAAGCTTAGGTTTCTCACGAAAGTAAGAGTTCGTGCCAATAAATAAGATGATCCGTAATCACGGTACCTATAATTTAAACCAACAAAAATTTGTTCTAATCTAATAAAGGACCAAACAATGTGCTAAACACTAGTTTTATTTTTGTTCAAGTCTAAGTACATAAACTTTTACTTATCAAAAACTTAATTTAAAAGTTTCAAACAATAGTTTACTACAATACAAACTACCAAAAACATGCGCCACCTATACTTCTTTCATGAAAAATTTTTTTTATCAAAAATTTAAACCAATGTTGCCTTTAATGATTTGTTTCTACACAGCTGGAGATTTATAGATGAGTATTCATATGTTTAAATAAACCTTAGTGTTGATTTAACTAACTTATTTAAAACTATTGTAATAAGATGTCTAAAAAGTTTTGAAACATGTAACATGTAATTGCAACATGTTGTAGTGAGTAGTTCAACTAATTTTTTTAGATGAACGTTACTATTGGTCTACTATTTAAATGTGTGTTCAGCTAAAATTAATTTTGAGTTTAAGTTGGAAATTTTACTTCACAGTTCGAAATAACCTCCTTATTTATATTGAAGTCATAATTGAAAAAATCATTTAGAAAAAGGGGATTTCTTCAATGGATCAAAATTGAAGTTGATTTTTTTTCAAAATGTCTGATTCAAATTTAGATTTAAGCTACTGTACAAATTAGAAATTATGAATAATTTTAAAGTGAAAGAGATATTTAAATATTTGCTATTTATGAAAAATATTAATTTAACGCGGTAAGTACACTTCTTAGTTTATTGTGCGTGTTTTTCATATTACCATTAAAAAAAAGGTTCAGTTTAAATATCGAAGCTTATCGCAGGTCAAATGAAATTGCATTGTCATACACAATTTAAACCTAATTCAAATATATCAGAAAGTTAAGAAAGCCAGAGATAAAACCTGTGTGTTTCACTAAAGACAAAGATCAAATTTAAAAAAATTAAAATTCTCATATTTTGGTAGCCAATTTAAATTTAGTATCTCTGAAGTTTAATAATATTTAAAATTTGTTCGACAATCTTTGGTTTAGTACTCAATTACAAGACAAGCCAGTATTAATTCTTTAAATTTCATATATACTTTCAGTGGCGAAGTTTGTACACAAGAGGGTTCTGAAATTAATATTCAAGGCTCATTACAATACAAATACATCAATATCCATTGATAACATTGACATCAACGCAAATTTGATTAGTTACTCTATTCGAATACATCGAAGTGTAATACATTACATTTGATATTAAATACATAAAGACTTTCATAATTCTCTGACTAATACAATTTCAGAATTTCATATTAATCTAGCTGATACAAGATATTTAAGAAAATATATTGCTTTAGGATAACTAAATTACAGATTTATGTAGTTTTCTTAGTTTTAATACAATATCATTTGAAAGTGAATTTTAAAATTACTATTAAATTGTACTTTTTAATACTATATTTGTTGTCCGTTACAAGGTACATTTTCCGCTCATTAAATATATATTTCCATTAGAATTAAATTCACGCGTACAAGAATAGTTTATAAACATTAATTTATTATTAAGAAAACTTGCTGAGCGTAACCTCTTTGAAAATTTTGAAATCTATTAAATGCAAATTATATTGTTAATTTACAAAAGGTATAAGAGTTCACCCTAAAGCAAAGAAATATAAAAAGAAATGTATTTTATTGCTAATTTTTTTAGCACATAACGTTTTCATAAAATTCTGAATAAATTAAAGATTGCTTGTATTGTCATGTTTTGAATTTTTTTAAAATGACAACTAAAATTTTGAAATAGTGGTTGATGTATTATAAGATTTAACAAGTGCGAGCTTCATTTATTTAAATTTCGGTATAAAAATTTTATCCGTGAATTTATCTCAAATCAAAGTTTTTGCAATTATAAGTTTTAAATGTAGA